GGGAGGGGGGGGGAGGGGGTTTTGAGTGGGGAGAGACGGGGAGAGGGGAGAGAAGGGGTGAGTGGGGAGGGGAGAGGTGGGTGAGTGGGGAGAGGGAGAGGGGTGAATGAGTGGGGTGAGTAGGGAGAGGGGGGGAGAGGGAGGGTGAGTGGGGAGAGAAGGGGAGAGGGGAGAAGGGGGTGAGTGGGCAGAGGGGGTGAGGGGAGAGGGATAATTTAGGGAAGGGGGAACGGGAGGAATGGGGAAAGGGGTAGTGGGGAAAGGTTGGGGAGGAGGAAGGGCAGAGGGAGGGAGGGGAAAGGGGAACGGGGGACCCCTATGACAGCCCGGAAACGATGGGTAGAGAGGAGGGGAAAGGAGGAATTAGGGGAAGGGTGAGAGGGGAGAGAGGGGGAGTGGGGGAAAAGGAAAAAGAGAGAGGAGGTGGAGGGTGGGTGGTGGGGTAGGGAGAAAGGGAGGGGAAAGGGGACAGAGGGACTTCCTATAGCAACTCGGTGGGTAGAGGAGCATGGGATGAGAGGGGAAAGGGGGAGGGAGGGAGGGTAGGGGAGAAGGATGGAAGGGAAAGGGTGGGAAGAGAGGAAAGGGAAGGGGGAGAGGGAGGGTGAGTGGGGAGAGAAGGGGAGAGGGGAGAGAAGGGGTGAGTGGGGAGGGGAGAGGTGGGTGAGTGGGGAGAGAAGGGGAGAGGGGAGAGAAGGGGTGAGTGGGGAGGGGAGAGGTGGGTGAGTGGGGAGAGAAGGGGAGAGGGGAGAGAAGGGGTGAGTGGGGAGGGGAGAGGTGGGTGAGTGGGGAGAGGGAGAGGGGTGAATGAGTGGGGTGAGTAGGGAGAGGGGGGGAGAGGGAGGGTGAGTGGGGAGAGGGAGAGGGGTGAATGAGTGGGGTGAGTAGGGAGAGGGGGGGAGAGGGAGGGTGAGTGGGGAGAGGGAGAGGGGTGAATGAGTGGGGTGAGTAGGGAGAGGGGGGGAGAGGGAGGGTGAGTGGGGAGAGGGAGAGGGGTGAATGAGTGGGGTGAGTAGGGAGAGGGGGGGAGAGGGAGGGTGAGTGGGGAGAGGGAGAGGGGTGAATGAGTGGGGTGAGTAGGGAGAGGGGGGGAGAGGGAGGGTGAGTGGGGAGAGAAGGGGAGAGGGGAGAGAAGGGGTGAGTGGGGAGGGGAGAGGTGGGTGAGTGGGGAGAGGGAGAGGGGTGAATGAGTGGGGTGAGTAGGGAGAGGGGGGGAGAGGGAGGGTGAGTGGGGAGAGGGAGAGGGGTGAATGAGTGGGGTGAGTAGGGAGAGGGGGGGAGAGGGAGGGTGAGTGGGGAGAGAAGGGGAGAGGGGAGAGAAGGGGTGAGTGGGGAGAGGGAGAGGGGTGAATGAGTGGGGTGAGTAGGGAGAGGGGGGGAGAGGGAGGGTGAGTGGGGAGAGGGAGAGGGGTGAATGAGTGGGGTGAGTAGGGAGAGGGGGGGAGAGGGAGGGTGAGTGGGGAGAGGGAGAGGGGTGAATGAGTGGGGTGAGTAGGGAGAGGGGGGGAGAGGGAGGGTGAGTGGGGAGAGAAGGGGAGAGGGGAGAGAAGGGGTGAGTGGGGAGGGGAGAGGTGGGTGAGTGGGGAGAGGGAGAGGGGTGAATGAGTGGGGTGAGTAGGGAGAGGGGGGGAGAGGGAGGGTGAGTGGGGAGAGAAGGGGAGAGGGGAGAGAAGGGGTGAGTGGGGAGAGAAGGGGAGAGGGGAGAGAAGGGGTGAGTGGGGAGGGGAGAGGTGGGTGAGTGGGGAGAGGGAGAGGGGTGAATGAGTGGGGTGAGTAGGGAGAGGGGGGGAGAGGGAGGGTGAGTGGGGAGAGGGAGAGGGGTGAATGAGTGGGGTGAGTAGGGAGAGGGGGGGAGAGGGAGGGTGAGTGGGGAGAGAAGGGGAGAGGGGAGAGAAGGGGTGAGTGGGGAGTTAATCACAAAAATGCATTATGAATAAGAATTACTAATTTTCATACCCTCTTTATGTGTGCGTGTATATTTATGTGTGCTTGTATGTGTGCGAATGTGCGTGTGTGTGTGTTTATGTAAATATCCGTTTCTGTACTTTCTGAATACAGTGATTATGATTATAATAATGACAAACAATAATGATGATAATAATAATGACAATAATAATGTTAATGGTAATAAACATGATGATGATAATGCTAGTAATAATGATAATAATAATAATAATGATGATAATAGTATTAATAATGATTATAATAATAATAATAAAATAGCAATAACAATAACAACAACAATAGCAACAACAACAACAACAATAATAATAATAAAGAGGATGATAATGATGATAACGACAGCAATAATAATAATGATAATGATAATAGTATTAATAATGATTATAATAATAATAATGATGATTATAATAATGACAAACAATAATGATGATAATAATAATGACAAACAATAATGATGATAATAATAATGACAATAATAATGTTAATGGTAATAAACATGATGATGATAATGCTAGTAATAATGATAATAATAATAATA